TGCAGCAGAAGTTCGAATAGGTAAATGGCTCATAACAGTACGAAGGCACCAAAGAATCTCAGCTTTTGACACATCATCCGAGAGAAGAAATGATTTTAGAGATTTTTTTTCCGTATTGCTTATTGAAGTAGAAGTTTCTATAATTCCGGCATCATTTTCCACAGTTGCGGTTTCATTAATGGAACGATCTATGCCATGAGATCCTGGAAATGTCAGAATACTTATATTAAATTATCGCTTTATCAAATTCTCAATTAAAGCTTTTTATTAAAATTTCACTTATGATTCTGAGTTTTACAACGATATGAATATACATATATTACTGTATTTAAAAATGTAACAACACAGCATATTATTGTGGAATATAATTTAAAAAGTATATTATCTATGTGACCATTTTACTTTAGAGTCTAAAAATTTTAAAAGTTTACTTTTTTCATGAAAATAATGTTGTAATGTATTGCATTTTTTAATTTATTGTACCGCTCTTAAATAATATAAACAATTTTTTATACATATTCTAGTATATTTATTCATATTACATTGTATATTGCCCGTGATGTTAAGCATGAATAAAATAAAAACATTATTCAGCCGATGAATTTAACATATTATTAATTAAATATATTTATTATTATGAAATATATTTTTTGTTATTATTTGTCTGAATAAAAAGATGCATTAAATATAGCGATAGCAAATATTTAAAAAAATTGTATAGTTATTAAATTTTATTTTTGAAGGTTTTTAAGTTTATTTTAAAGCTACTTGGACTTTTACGAAACTAATTATCCTATGGTCTCTTATGTCAATATATATATTTTTACTCTCAATAATATAATTAATCGACTAATTTTCAAGAACTAAATCGATTTTTAATGATTGTATGAGATAATATTTTTCTTGGTGTTTTATGCTTCTGATTTAATCAGAGCTTTTCAGAAATAAGAGAGACACGGACCACTTTTCTTTTTTTAGGCTCTCAGTAGATTAAACCTTTAATACCTAATAGTATAGGTTTTAAGACATCCAAGTTTCCTTGTTTGAACCTAGCCCTTAAAAATCCTTTGATGCTGTAGATCTCGAAAATATCTCATCTATCTGTCTGAAAATTCAGTCGGGCGTAAACAAAGGACTTAACGAAGGAAAAATGCATAAATTTCCAGAATTAAAAAATTGATTTAAAAAATATAACAATATATCTTTTGCAGTATATACTTATTTTTCTACGCGGATGATTATTTATTTCTTTGCACTTTAAAAGTGTACATATCACGTTACCATGTATAGTTAAACACTTCAATAACGTAAATTTTTAGAATCAAATTTAAAAATATTAAATTAGTCGATTTTATTGTTAAAAAATTTAGTATGCAAATTCGTACGTACACGTTCTAAATCCGTCATGATAGTGACTATTTGCAAACGCAAGATATTTTCAATAAATGCACACTTTGTTATATATTTGTTGTATAAATAAAATATAATAAAAGTAAATGATTTGGGTACCTTGTATTGATTCTGCAACTATGAAATTGGAGGAGCTATTTGTACTTTTTTCACTCTCTTTACGTCGTACATACATTTCCATCGGGATATTTTTCTTACAACTTGCAATGATACTTTTATGCTTTTGAGATTTCACATGGCTTTGAAGAGCACTTTTTCCCATCGAACTAATATTAATTACAGTTTTGCACCAAATACATAATGCATTGGTACTAGTTTTAGGATCCCGAGCTACCCATGGGTAAATAAGCTCATAGGATTGCTGATATTTTGTAGTGCTTGGCTTAACCATGATTCTTTACTGAAAAATCAGATAATAATTACTAAGAATAGAAGACTTCTACAAACGACGCAGAAAATTCACTCTGTATTTTTCATTCCGACTGTTGCACTATAAATCACAAAATCACTCACGTCAACCTAAGAAGAGTTCCAAATTTTTTGTACATCCGACTGATCGTAGAAGCAAAGACGTCTGATATGGTCTAACAGAATAACTGAATTTGTGCATCACTTGTTTTAACAAATGAAACGCGGCGCGCCAAACGACTAGGCAGCGGCGAACGGTTAAGGCCGTTCTACAATAAGTTGCAAACACCCCGTTGCCAGTTGAAACGTTTGTCGCGACAATCAATTAGAAGCGTAAATGGTATTATTTATGCTTCTGATTGGTTACCGTGACAAACATTTCAACTGACAACCGTTGTTTGCAACGCATTGTAGAATGCCCTTTAGAGTGCCGGTACACTGCCCATCGATAATT